GGGGCGTTCCAAATAATCCCATAAACTTCGTTTATCTCGCATAATCCCCTGAATTGTGGGGTGTCTCATAAAACCCATCGAACCTTGACCTTCTCTTTCCGAAACACCCTACATGTTATTTGTAAATAAATAAGATTTCTTTAAAAAGTCCAGATAACTAAGAGAAGGGTACGTTGCCTGTAATGAGAAATGATAAATTAATTTTATATGTTTTCTCTCAAGGACATTATATACAATTAGTTGCAATAACAATGAGGTTCGATGAAAAAAAGGTTAAAGTTAAGAAATTATGGTGAGATACTCCACAGTTTAGGAGGTTACGTAAGATAAACAAATTCAAGAGAATTATGTGAAAATCATCCAAAATTCAGGGGGGTTATCTAACATTAACACTAGAATGTATTTAAGTGCCCCCCACACTCCACGAGTAAATTCTTTGGTGTAACGTCTAAACTTTTGCCTGTTCTTCGTGTCCTTAATTATTTTCACTTGCTTTCCTTTGTGAATAGGATCCTTAGGCACCAAATATGTATATCGAACTTGAAGAATAATGTCCTCAAAAGTGTATGTATAACCTTCCTATTTAAACGTACAGAAGATCCAAAGGTCCGCATCCCTTGGAAAAAGAACCAATCTATGTCATGCAACACTGGACAATTTTGTGGATTCAGGAAACCGATCACGACATTCTTCTGGCTATCAACCCGCTGTTTGGAACCATCGGCTCATCGAGTCCATTAGTAGTCATTATGATGTAAACTTTTATCTTCTGTCTGAAGGTCAATTGTTAATTTACTGTTTAGACTCTAGCTGGTTAGCTGCTTCTTATACTTAATTTGAAACATTTTTTTAATCCACACTTATTCCGAAACAGAACTATCTTAGTGATTTTTGTTCTCATCATATCTATCGCACAACGTTAAATTGTTGCTAGGAGATCTGATATTTCAAAGGTCACAGGGATTATCTGTTACAGTGAGGGCCAGGGGCTACACAAACACAGAAGATATCTATACAAAGTGAATAATAACATAGTACGATCTAATTACAGTAGAGATAGAGAATAGCACACAAAGATTTAACGTGGTTCGGTCACTATGACCTACGTCCACGGACGAGAACAACACGTATGTCCACGGACGAGAACAACAGAGGAATTCATAATCATAAAAGAGAAGATTATAAGGGAGATCACTCTCTAACCCCACCAAAGAATCACGCAATGAGAGAAATTAACTGTCTCTGTCTCTCTCTTCTCTCTAACTCCTCTCTATATCCGATGCCTCTAACCCTTCATCACTCCTCCCCCATTTATAGCATTTTAATTATAATGTAAAATATGTAATGGTTGGTGTAATAGGTAGGCTAGGCTAGGCAAATAGTTGGGCTTAAGCGGAGGGACTAGGGAGTTAGGTGAGTCAAATACAAATTTTATTTTTCCTTCTTCATCCAAAATCACGTGTAACATTATCTGCAACTCACCCCAAAATTCACGTGGGTTTCGTAAGATTTGCTTTTGAAAATTATTGTTTAAATTCTGAAAGCAAACACATGAATACATGAAGATCCACATTCCTCTCTGAAAAATGAAAATTATTGTTTAAATTCTGAAAGCAAACACATGAATACATGAAGATCCACATTCCTCTCTGAAAAAACATTCGTTCTCTCAAAACTTGCAGCATGAATACATGAAGATCCACATTCCTCTCTGAAAAAACATTCGTTCTCTCAAAACTTGCAGCATGCAAACTACTTAAGATTAAGGAAAATTGAATTCTCTTCCTATTTCTTCTTGCGATTTTCTACTAGAAACCAGGTTGAAACCAAAAGTTAAAGTTTCATGTCATCGGTTCGCCATGGTGAGGCACAACTATTTTTCTATTCGTATTTCTAGTTTGGTTCAATTTCTACAAATTATAGGAAATGTTTTCCACCCAAAATATAATTTCCTTGTATTTCATAAAAAAAATTATAGGAAAATTTTTGAGACGTCAAAAAATGTTGCGCGTAGCGCAAATTTCGGCAGCACAACAAGAGAGTCAGGTCGCAATAGGAATTCCTGTTTCACAAAGGAAACAAGAACCTTAAGCAAAATATCTTAACCAAGTAAGATATCAGCTCTTCCTCTCATCAGTTCTAGGACTGACCTGTCGAGGGAACCTAAGAGCTATTACAAATCACACAAATAGCGAGATAACCAAATTTTTACGTGGTTCGGCAAATTGCTTACGTCCACGGGGCAAGGAGGGGGGAGATCTACTACTAGAGGGAGAGAAAACAATTAGGGTTTACAATCACTCAATCTAAACCCTCAC